CATATCTCGGCGACTAAGTGTTCCTCTCTCTTTGACAAATATCCTCAGATTACTTAAAATCACAGCTTCTCAATACGATGATGAGGAGGATCGGAACGAGAAACGGTAGTTTGCTTTTGCTAGTCATAGTTTTTTACGTGTTAATTAAGCTACTTATATTTATATTTATGTGGTAAACTCTCTTGATATCAACCTGAAATTAACTAACCATGGTTTCTACAAACTAACCTAAATTAAGTATGTCAGAGTATAATCAGTTGATTTATTCAATCTATTTAGAATCATTGTTTGCGTCATGACCATCGTTCCAAAATGTGGTTCATGCGTCTGTATATACGGTGTTGATGCGTTGGTGTTGTAAGATGATTTACCGTACCATATTTTTAAGCAATACAAAAAAATGATAGCGAATACAACGGTTAATTAAGCAGCCAAGCATATACGATACACTTTCTAAACTACCTAAAACAATATACTATGTATGTTATCCACTTATTGTATCCGCGTATATATCTAGGCTAGGTATTGTACGGTGGTTCGTCACTCAGCAAGTGCCTAGCATATTTTAGAATGTCAATATAAACGGGCCTTGCTCGATTCTAACTTTCTACTAGATATTCATATTTTGTTACATGAAAAGTTTCAAGCTTTTTTTGTTCTTACTAATTTGTAGTGGTACGATGGGGGAGAAAGAGAAACGAGGGAGATTAATGCCAAAGCATGTGGCAATTATATTGGACGGTAACAGACGTTGGGCGGAGAAACGAGGACTTGGAACATCGGATGGTCATGAAGCCGGAGCCAGCAAACTCGTGGAGAATGCTAAGGATTGTTTCGCTATGGGGACAAACACCATCTCACTCTTTGCTTTCTCCACTGAAAATTGGGCAAGACCCGAGGTGATTATGAAAAAATTGAAATATTATCATTTCTCCATAGCATTTTAAGATTTTTTTTCTCATATTTCGATCATTTTGATTCGGTTTTGTTTCTTCTGATCAGGATGAAGTTAACTTTTTGATGGCCTTGTTTGAGAAACAACTCAAGTCAGAGCTGCCTTACTTCCAAAGGTACCCATCGTGTTGTTTTGATCATTTTATTAAGCATTAGATAAATGTTAATTTTTCTTTTTAGAGATAAAATCAAGATCTCGGTTATTGGGGATCGGGCAAAACTCCCCGAGGCGCTTCTAGATTTGATACAAGAGGCAGAGGAAGCTACAAAGAGTTATGAAGGGAAGCTTCTCATTGTAGCGATAGACTATAGCGGAAGATTTGATATCTTACAAGCATGCAAAAGTCTTGCGGAAAAAGCGAAAAACGGACTGATCCAAGTGGAGGACATTGACGAGAAGGCGATGGAGAAAGAGTTGATGACAAAGTGTAGCGAGTTCCCCAACCCCGACCTATTGATCAGAACGAGCGGAGAGCAAAGGATTAGTAACTTCTTCCTGTGGCAATCAGCTTACACTGAGCTCTACTTTCCTAAGGTTCTATGGCCTGACTTCGGTGAGGCAGAGTATCTCGAGGCCTTGACTTGGTATCAGCAAAGGCAGAGGCGATTCGGTCGACGAGTTTAGACCTTTTTTTCATTTCATGTCTCACAAATAAATTGTTCAAGTAATGCAGTATGGTACTAAATGTGTATTTGTATTTACGTCTACTAGTTAAAAATCCTACATTAATTTTTAAAAAAAAATATAAAACGTCATTTAGAAATTTTCAGTTTTAAAAAAAAAGTTATTTCAAAAATAAAATCGTGTTAGTGGAAACTCAGAACATCTCCATTGTATAGAGACTCAAAGAGTCTCTCAAATATAATATTTAAATGTTTTAGTTATTTATTTAAAATTTAAATGGTTAAAAAGATATTAAACCAATCAAATAATAACACATCCTAAATAGATTTCTAAAAAAAGTGATAAGAGTTTCTCATTTGAGAACTCTTTTTCATTCTCTCTACCACTTTTTCATTATTTTACTAATTTTTTTTTGTGAGAAACCCTCCAA